GTTAGTTATTTTTGGGGAAATAAATAAGCCAGAGCTATTGCGAACAAAAAATAATTTGTATGTCCGAAAGTCATTAAATAAATCTACTAGTGTTTTTCAGTCACAAAAGGATCCTGCCACTGCTTTTGAGGTGATGAGGACCACCTATATGGAGTGCAAAATTCTGAAAAGTTATTATTTTTCTTTAAAAAAATTAAGAATTGATTTCATATTAATTTAAAATGAAATTTCTTAAAAATGTTACAGAAAATTCCGTATAAAACATTGATTAATCTTCAATGAAATTCAAAAAATGAAAACACTCACTCGAATTTGCTATTTATAGTTTGAGTAGTTATTTGATATTTTTTTACAGACAAATACCTGTCACTTAAAGAAGGAAACTGTTTAACTCTCAGAATAATTCACTCAAAAGATACGCCAACTTTTGGATTAAACTTACTAAGTTGTTTAGCATTCACTTTTATTTATAAGCTTTAGAATACATATATATTTTAAAATGTGTAATAAAAACATCAAATAATATCTGGCAAATAAGTTATCTTTAAAGAACATAAATTTATTTTAAAAATTAATCATATGTCAACTTAAAAGTAACCGTAAACCCTTTCTCATAATTTTTAAATCTCAATCGCAACCTATAATTTAGATTTTTTTTACCTGACCCCTCAACCAACTAAGCTGGAAGCAACTATCAGCAGGGTTTTTATCGATGTTGTTGTAGAGCACCTCTGGAAAAGTTTACAGAACCCTGGAGAGCGCTTATAGCGCGGTTATGGCACGCGTTCGCTTGACAAAGATATCCACTCAAGCTACCCCCACCCCTTGGTAATAGTTTTCCCCCTGATATTGTGCTCGAGGAAGTTTTAGATTTCTATGGCGATATTTTGTTTCGATATCGGGTTTGAATCTATCAGACGCCAGAATCATTTCACCTCTATTTTTCAATGAGTTATAAAATAAAACTGAATAAAAGACATGAAAGAAAAGCTTTTTAGATAACCAAGTTCTTTTACTATGTGGGTGGTAACTTTGTTATCAGGTGAAAACCTACCCTGAGATCAGTTTCTGATCTTAATCAAGCATTATGACTTTTATGAAGCAGGTTTGGCACGCTTCTTAAAAGGGATTGAGCACATTTTAGCGCATGTATGTTGAATGCGAACTTCTGAGTTGTAAATACATATCTGTACTTATAAGATAATTTTGTAGTGTTTCTTTTTTAATTAAAATCTTTTAAACTAAAAAAAGGAATATCTTACATAAAAGATGAGTATTTATTTTTCTACAAGTTGTCATAAATGCATTAGGCAATTAATTTAAAAATACGACTTTTTCAAAATTCAACTTCTCAATAACTATTCGACTGTTTTTTTCCCAAATATTGTACTTTGACATTTAAGATAGCATTCTTTAAAATGATGCTGTAAAAAATTTTATACATTACAATTAAATTCAATTCCACCATTATTAAATAAAATAATATATATTTATAAATAAAATGCATGGAATTGTCTTTGGATAAACAAATTTTATAATTGTGTGCAAAAATGTTTCAATTCGTTTAAAAAATTCTCGAGACATGGTGAAATACGAAAAACAAATTAACATTAAGGGTTCCAAACTTTGGACCGCTCTTATAATTCAATTATTGGAACCGTATTTCCCGATTGCTGCTCTTCCCTATATTTTGTGAGTCAGAAATCCGAATAAATCGTAAAAAAAGCACGTTTATTCAAATAAAATACTTTTTTGTGTCGTTCGATTTCGTAACTTAAATTATCGTCTGCACTAAGTAATTAGTATACTTGAGGTCACCCCATCGAACCTTTAAGATTGAGTTCTAGAACGTGGAGACCCGATTATTTGATCAAAAGTTATTCAAAGTGGTCTATTTTTTATTTTGCGCACACTGAGGTTAAAAATCAGATGCAATAAATTGGTTAAAATTCGTGCTACATACAAAATATGGACAAGTTATGTACCACATCGTTTCATGTTCATGAAATTTTACTTCTACGAAGTATTTATTTGATGAGATATGCTATTAAATGATTTCTTAATTAACATTAATCAGCAATAGAGTTACTTGATGAGACTGAAAACGAGGGCTATCAAATTGGTTGTTAATTTGTGAATTTTGATGGTATAGGGAGATTAGTGACCACGGTAAGGTTCTTAACTCGTTATGTTAATAAACTCGCGATGATTAATATCCTTCAGAGCTATTCACTAAGCTTGAAACCTACGTCTTAATAAGTCGATATTTTGGCCTTGGAAAATTGAGTGTGCGTAGTGCGTGTATGTATTCCACCAACAGTCAAGTAAAGGTACGAAAAGGAGTAAGTTGTTTCTCTTTTTCTGGGAACAGGTTGAGTAAAACTCAACTTGCGTAACGGTCTGTCGAGATCGGAGATCATCAGACCGCGGCAATGAGAAGAGATAAAAAATAGAGGTGGCATTTAAGCTGTAGTTCTTCAGTTCGGACAAGACTTTTAAAATAAAACAATGAAATTTCTCATAGAATGAAATAGCTACCCTGTAAAAGTAGAATAGATATCCTGTCACTATGTTTCCTATCGCCAAATGGTGACAAAAAAAAATCCTCTCTTCAGAAGTGTTCGTTATAGAATTTCAAACGCATAAAGAACGTAAAACTCAAAATTTTGGGTAGGTATGTTTCTGAAGATTTGATACCGTAGAAACTGATTAAAGAAGCTGAATTCTGCAAGCTTTAAAGAACTTCAAATTAAGAACTTTGAATTATTTCCCCACTATTCAAAAGTAGCCGTATTATGATGCGACTAAATATATTTTTTAGAAATCAAATAATTCAAAAAAAATTTCTTAAAATACTTGAAAATTAACTTTTTTAAATTTATTGTTATATTATTATTATTTATTATTTTTTTGTGGTTAGTTGTGGCAACTGAGAACTAATTTTTGATCAATCAGTTTTTATCGCTTTTGCATACAAACTAGAAACCTTAGTTAGCAATTAATAAATTTATAGTGAAAATATTACTTTTTGCTTCATATGCTCTATAATTGCTCATTATTAATTGTAACACATAATCAAATAGATAGTTTTGAAAAAGTTAATCATACATAAAAACCAACATACAGAAAAATTACCAATCGCTTAACTAATAAATATCTAATGTATGTACACGTATACTGAACAACGAGTTAACAAGTAATTAAATGAATAATTTAAAATTGTTAGAAAGCATTTTTAAATCCCAAAAAGGAAATAAAATTTTAAAAACAGGGAAATCAACAAAAGAAAAAAAAACTTATGATTTAGCAAACTATCCATTCAACAAAGTAAATATTCTTTTTTAAAACTAAAACAAAATGTTATCCTTTTTGTGATTCAAATATTATACTTCCTAACAACTTCAGACATGAGATATATGCTGGTAGTAGTATAAGTTTAAATAATGATAAGTTTAAAAAGTCAGTACAATTTAGATCCATTGTTCACCTTGAAAGCTTCGGTGTAAATCAGCTTCCACATTACTATTTAAGGAAAGATATATACCACATCATTATTTGCAAGAATTGGGCTTTTTGACTTTAATGTCTATTTAAAGATACTCACCAAATTAAGAAAATTCCATCTACTTTATCATCTAAGTAAAAAGACTACTATATAGCGACATGCACTTACCAAAAAATCTCGTACTATCTCCCAATACTATTATTACTTCAACTAAGCCTAATTTAAACAAATTAAATTTTTCTAAAAGAATTTTTCACAGCACAGTAAAGGGAAATTTTTGAAAATGATTGAGGCCTCTTTTAAAACGAGATTGAAAAATGAACTCCTTTACTATGCTCTGAATCATTCAAATATATTAATTTCTATAAATGACCTATAATTCAATAAAAAAATTTATCGAGTTAAATTAAGTTAAAACTACAATGTAATTCATTTAAAGGTATAGGATATAAATTAGCTTTCATAAAATTAAAGCTACTATATTTAACCTATAAAAAAAATAAAAAATTTGCAAAAATTCTAAAAATTTTTTTTATATGACTATTATTTATTTTAATAACAACAGTCGTAAAAAGGAAGTGCAATTCATGAATCTTCAGTAAAAAAAATAGTAAAAATCCTAATATCAAATGTTAAGTTTCGGTTTTTTTATTATTATTATTATGAAAACTAAATCCTTGCAAAGAGATATTTTACATAAATCACGTCTGTGAATCTATTTTAAATCAGAAACAAGAGTTTGGTGAATGAGTTTAACGGGATAGTGTTGTAATTTAAGAGAAAACACTTCATGTAAAATAAAATTAACATAATCCTTTATTGCTGAAATGAATTATTATATAATTTTAAAATCATACAGTAAAAATACTGTTATAGCATTAAATTTCCGGTCATGTTTGAGTTCAGAAAATAACTTTTTACGTTACAGTTCTAGTTAAATTAGACTTGGGAATTATACTCAATGTTTCCACAATTTTTTTTATTTGCAAAAAAAAAAAATATTACATTTTATTTATTTTCGATCCATAAACAATAAGCAAGAATATGTAGTTTTATACATTATCTGCAATAAAAAAATATTGTTTACTTAACCAAAAATTCTTTAAAAGTTATTTTTAAAAAAAATCCTTCCACGAAAGATTTAACAGTGATAATATTAAGATGTAAAAAAATTTTAGTTTCGTATCTTAATACAGTATTAAATGAAGTTCAAAACAATATATCTACTAAGTAAAAAATATTACTATAATTATCAAATTACATAACTCAAACTAAAACAAAATAACTTGCTAATTACGACTGTTAGTTTATCTATTTTAATAAAAATCAACTACACTAACTAATAATCTACTTGCAAATTATAATTTTACATTTAAGAAAAAACCCAATGTACGTATATTAACACCTCAGTAGATAAACTCTGAAAAGATCAGAAATTCCATCACTAAGACGCTAATGTACGTACATTTGGCAAATGTAAATGTTTTAGCCTTACCTGAGTTTGTGTGAGGCCTAAGGAAGCAGCTAATTCTGCACGTTCTGGTAATGCTAAATATTGCGTCCTTTGAAATCGTCTGTTTAATTGTTGTAATTGAAGGCTAGAATATATTGTGCGCGGTTTTCTCATTTTCTTCCCCTTTCCGTTCACTCTTAACGTTTCTTCCAGTTGAGATTTATCTAAAGAAAACAAAAATATACATCAGACGTAAGAAGAAGAGCTTTATTTTAATCACGTTTAAAATATTTCAATGTATATCGACTCAGTTAAATGATAAATTTCATTCGTACTTTACCACTTTCATAATATTTTGATCATAAACTCTTGGAAACAAGTAGAAAATTTCAGGTTTTAGTATAAGATAATATACCCAAAATATTCGCATTCCTAAAAGAAGATTGTCTCTTATCTATTAACTATAAAATATTTTTAAAATAAACATGTATTCTACTGGGCGATTAGAAAAACGCCGTTAAGTGCTGCACGATAGATTTCAAGGAAAGTAGAATGCCAACTACTGTCTTTCGACTGCTAATTAACATTAAAATAGAATTTCTTAAAACTTAAAAAAACTAAATTTATTTTTGAAAAAAAATTGCAATAAGTAGCTTGTCATATAGAAATGCTAATTATATAAAAGCCTTAATTATGAAATTTTCGCCGCTTATGTTGATTTTCCAATTTCACGCCATTACTATACAACGCAAAAGGAAAATTCATAAAATTAAAAAAGTCATTATGATAGGTATTATCTAATACCTAACGAAACAAGCTGTACATTGAGCAATGGAAAAACTTATGAAACATGTTTAACTTTTAGAAGCACATTAACGAAGTTTAAAATAATTACATAAATTGTAACGAGACAAAATTATAAAATATTATAGTTTTCATTGCCATTTATAATTATTCCTTAATGATATCAAAATTGCATCTTCTTAGACTATTCATAAATTATCTGAAAAATAAATCCACCGACATAAGCTCAATACATTTATAAAAACAGAGCTGTACTTTAATCAACATGGATGCACATAATATACACCAAACCGAAACAGGAATCAATCCGTTATAGGTAAAATAATTTCTTAAAAAAAAACATGGAAAAGAAAAATCGGTTCTATGTTGAAACAATAATATCTATATCTTTAACCGTAGTACCGATTCAAATTCGATGCAACATTAATTAATGTGCTTCATTGAACCATGTATCCGTTCAAATTGAACCATAACATCGTGTAATGAATTTTTGGAAGTACGTTAATTTGGTTCATTTTAGCACTAAATTAAAGTTACAGCAAATGTCAGCCATGTTATGCGGGATCCAATTTTTTTTTAAATGTGCCTAAATCATTCACTAATGATAACTAAACATAATTGTTATTTCTGCGAAAACATGCTGAGATTACAATTTCGAAATAAAAGAATTGTAGCACTATAAAATGATTCTAAAATTGAAATGGTTATTTAAAATATGAGGCGCAGAAATTTTTTTTCTTATTATTAAAATTGCTGTATTGTATGGTAATGACACTTTTGGGGAAAAAAAACTCTGGTTAATAAACTTTATTAACCAGACTCTTATAGGCTTAACTCTGGTTAATAAGACCAAAATATACAGTATTTAAGCCACCGATTCGGTAACGGTTTACGGGAAATTCTGTTTTTCATAGTAATTGTTCTTATCACCACACGATAAATAAAAATACAAAATTGAAAGATATATTTAACCACTGGTGTTTATGCTTTGATCTAAGATATCAGGATAAAATAACGGTAAATGTTACTACTACATTTGTATGGACCATACTCTTTTTCTCAGTATACTTATATTTCTTGATTCAGATCCTAACTAATTCCATAAAATAAGAAAAAGTAACGCATGTATTGTTGAAGAAATATCAAATCTTTAATTTCAAAATCTGTTAAAAAAAATAATAATTTTAGAGCAATTGAATATGTTGCTAAGTAAATTAGTAAAAAAATAATAAGCAATTCGAGCTGAATTAAACTTAAATTTTTTTCAGTCATATTTTAAAAAAAATACTTCATGCAATTCTTTTCTCTTTTATCCCGGGGATGAAAATGTAATTCATTAAAAAAAATTAACTTGAAAAAGCTACCGGAAAATATAATTAACCAGTTCATTACATAAATTTAAGGTATTCTTAATCACTTTCATTAGATGATGAAAATGTATTTTATTCAAGAATCCGAACATTATAAATATTATTTACAGTTCAATTATATTTACTGTTATTTCGAATGTTGAAAAATATTATTTAACAAAGACGCTTTTTAATTGTTATAAACACACATTTGAAATTCAAAACTTTAAAGGAAATAGCAGGATTTCGTCTTAATAGTTCACAGGTTATGGTAAATGATCAATTTAAGTCAATCAACGACATTCAAAAGCAAGAATCTTAGAAGTGTACAAAGCAGTAGAAAATAAATGAATTGTGTTATTATTAATATTTCTGTATATGACATTTCTATTCCCCAGCAACGCCTACAAGGGAGTAAGTTCCCTCAGATTCTGACAGTATATGCATAGAGAAAACACAAAAGCACAATAGTCAAAGGGTGAATACATAGACACTTTTCAGAAATATGTATTGCTTTTATGTGGTCTCTTTAGGGGATCTGAAAGATATGTCCCCACCCACTGAATATCATCCATCTTCAGCATAAAAAGAAAAGAATAGTCAGGTGTTATCTTTCAGTTAGTTAAACAGAAAACTAAGTCCAGGAATATTTCCATTTCCTGTAAGTGTGGCCACCAGTGGTGGTAATACTTTTCCAATAACATTTTTCTTTTGTGGTCATTTCAAGGGCTAGAGTCATAGATAACCACCCATTGATTACAAAGGAAGTCAGGTGTTCTCTTGTCAAATTTAATGGTAAATAAAAACTTACAAATCAAAATCCCTGAATTCATAAGTATATGGAGGAAAGTATGGCGCTAAAAGTTGAACATCCTAGTTCAATCTTGAGCAAGAGTTATGTTAATTGAGCCGCATGATTCGGTCATGCTCCAAAGCAATCAGTTCCGCTAAAACGTCTCCTTGTTGTTCTTCTTGACAAGATTTGAGAGAATCGGATTACAATGAATTTAGATGAACGCTGATTATGAAAAAGAAAGTGGCATCGCCTATGTCTCAAAAATTAGATACTATTGGATTAAGATAATACATGAAGCGATGCTATATAATTAAAATGGTATTAAATAATAAATTAATGTCGGAAAAGTAAAAGTTAAAAACGCGTTAAATTCTTAGATAATTATTTACCACACATTTATTTTAAATTTAAACTTAGTTTTATTTCCATATACTTCGCAAGCAAATTAGGATAGCCAATTTCACAATATGTTTCCCTTTTTTAAAAAAAAAAAAAACTAAATAAAACATTAAATAAACAAGTTTCAAATTTTATTTATTTTATACTATAATTTTCTATTCATTCATAGGTTTAACTTAATTAAATAGTTTCCTCAATTCATATTAAATGTCATTATTTAAGATTTTGAGGAAAAGATATGTATAAGTATTCCAGACACAAGATCTGCTAACCCTTTTTTTTTAAGAGACCAAAAAAAAAAAAAAAAAAAAAAAAAAAAAAAAAAAAAAAAAAAAAAAAAAAAAAAAANAAAAAATATGCAAATAAATTAAATAAGTATATAAGTAAATAATAAAAAATAAAATAAAATATTGCTTCAAATATTCGATCAATTTCTTTAACAGGAATGCACTCTCTAATTTCAACTATTTAAAAAAAATGGCATATTTGTAATTTTCTACTATTCGTTTTCAATATCAAATGCAAGTAATAACACTTTCACCAGCAATAAAAAGCATTCGCTAAATTTGAATTTTTTTTTTCGTGTACAAATTTTGAACTCAACAAATCTTTGGTAAAAGAAGATAAATTTGTTAGTTTTTAATACACTATTATAAAAAAAAAACAGTTTAATGCTTAACCATTAATTTTAATTTGAACAAGTCGTATTAACCTGCAAGTTTGCTGTAACCTTAAAAAGAATTTGTCACCGTAATATTTAATAGTACTGCCGTACAATAAAGTTTAAGAAAGATTAAATTGTACATCAATATTGTTCAGCATGGTATCGCATTAAATTTGCTGCAAATGTAAAAAATATTATGGTATAAATTTCTTCTCTATATTCCCCCGAGAGCTGCTAGGGGGCAAAAGGAAAATTGGAAGCCGTTAGAATATTTATAATTTAAAAACAGATATTCACAACGAGGACAAAATTAATAATAAAATATTATTCCACAGCTAACAATTATTTTAAGAACACAATCTTCGATATTTATGTTATTGCACTGTAAAAAATCCCCGATCAAATTACGGTAATAAGTACCAGCACTCAGGGTGTCAGTACTTATAATCGTAAAATCCATTTTTACAGCAACGTGTTACAATTTTTGATACCATAATTTTTTTGGCTAATAATTACCATAAAATCGCTAAATCACTCTAATGAAATAAATATCACTGTAAAAGTTACGGTATAATATTTTACGGTAAAAAGGAATTTCACGGATGATGCACCGAAAGTCTCGATACTTTTATACTGTAATTTGATCCTTATATTTTTACAGTGAATGTCACTTGTTCTTAGCTTGTTCTGTCTCATAAATTGTACAAAATAAATATGTTATAAATATTTTTTATTACTATAGAAATATATATTCGTAAATAATACAAATAAAGCATTTAACAATTGTCTAAAAAAATATAAAAATGCAAAGCACGTTAAGTTTCAAAAAAAGGTAGACTTTTCTAAGAAACCCTCATTTCTTTTAGAATTTATTTTTCTCTTACACAGACCAGGTTAAATCTTTACGATTGACACTAACAGTACACATGCTTAACATTTTATTGTTTAAGTATTACAAGCATATTACTCGAGCATTCAAGCGGAATTTATATTTAAAGGGTCAGCAACTCCTTCCCGGCAATCTAATAAATCAAGTCCCGCGCCATAAAATAGACACTAAATCTGTATTAATTCTCACAAAAGGCGCGTGAATACGCGCGTAAAACACTGGTTTAAGTCTCTGTAATATTTTGATTTAGTAACATTTCCTGAAACTTTGTCTTGTATTGTCAATACAATTAAAATCTTCAATTTCGGGAACGAGATCGGAAT